TATACCCAGCAGTGGGACTGCCAGATTACACAGTAGTTCTATTTTAAATTTTTCGAGGAGCCACCATACTGTTTTCCATAGTGGCTGTACTAATTTACATTGTCATCAACAGTGCACAAGGGTTTCCTTTTCTCCACATCCTTGCCAACATGTGTTGTCTTTTTGATAACAACCATCCTAACAAGTGTGAAGCAATTTTTCATTGTGGTTTTAATTTGCATTTCCCTGATGATTGGTAATGTTGAGTGTTTTTCATACACCTGTTGGTCATTTGTATGTCTTCTTTTGAGAAATGTCTATTCAGGTCCTTTGCCCACTTTTTAATCAGGTCATTTGTTTTCTTACTATTGAGTTTCTTTCTCCCTTTATCTCTTGACTAAAGTAGATTGATTATTTCAGCAATGGAACATCATAGTGGTTTTTGGTGTATTAGGAGTTTTTGAGCACTGGAGTCAATGACGTTTATGCATAGGCTTTTGGTTTTTAGCAGTTAGTATCATGGCATTGAGATTGTGACACCTCAAAGAAAAGGAACATACTTCTTTAAATATGTAAATTAGATTTTCCAGTGAATTATCGTTTTTTCAATACTTGAATGGTCAGATTTCATCTCTGAGCATACATTTTCTTTTGAGTCTATTAATTTACACTAATATTTCCTACAATTCATACACCATAAAAAACGTTACTGAGTTTAAGCAGAGCACAGAGTCAAAGTCATACAGCAATTTTAAAGATACAGTTTTAATTTTAACGATTTATGGAGGCCCATGAGAATGTGGTTATATTTGAAGAAAAAATGGCTTTATTTTCATTTTAGCCAAAGTCTATAATTAATGTTCTTCTGAGAATGCGTGTATTTCAAGCCAAAAAAAGCCACCATTTAAATTTTCACTAGTTTCCAATGAGCTGTTTGCTGTATCATTCTTTCAGTTAATCAATCTTTTAGTAATTCATTTATTCATTAAGTATTTTTGTCAGTTCTCCTCCTCCCTTAGACAAACATACCGGCAATTAGAGACAATGGGCATGCACAAAATGTCATGATGGATTATCCTAAGTGAGTTGCAGAAGTGCTGATGTGAATCTGTGGCTGGGGGGGATCATGCGGTATTATGGAGAAGGCTAATGGAGCAGGAGCATTTGAGCAGGGTTGTAAAGGGTGCATGGATTTGACCATTTAGCAAGGAAGAGGAACACATTTAGGGAATAGCACAAGCAAATGGGTTCAGCTGGAAATCTCAATGCCGAGGGAAGAATCTGCGAACAGTCATGTGAATTTATTGTTTCTTCTTTTAAGCACCCCTCTCTTATTTAAATACTTAGGCTAAAGCACTGCACGAATCAGCATTTCTCAGGATATGTTCTGAGGTATACCAGTTGTGTAAGATGTTCCTCGAAAAAGAGGCCAAATATGAGAAGTCCTGCAGTGAAAATCCTGTTTAACTTTGCTGATCCGTTGTTGCCCACGTGTATTTAATGGTAGGATGCCTTTTTTTTTTTGAGATGGAGTCTCTGTCACCCAGGCTGGAGTGCAGTGGCACAGTCTTGGCTCACTGCAACATCTACCTCCTGGGTTCAACTGATTCTCCTGCCTCAGCCTCCTGAGTTGATGGGATTACAGGCGCCCACCACCATGCCCAGCTAATTTTTGTATTTTTAGTAGACACGGGGTTTCACCATGTTAGCCAGGCTGGTCTCAAACTCCTGACCTCAGGTGATCTGCCTGCCTTGGCCTCCCAAAGTGCTGGGATTACAGGTTTGAGCCACCGTGCCCTGCCTACAGTGGCTTTTTAACATTCTGTGGAATCTGTGTTCCATGGAGCATTGTTTAGGTAACATTCATCTAAAATAATATCCAACATCAGCTTTCTGTAAAAGAAATATCCTACCCTGTTTCCAGACAAATCTGTAGAAAGGAGCTTCAGGTGGCCACATGCACACTGTGGCTTTATTTAGACTAGTAGGCTAGGATCTCCCCACTCATTTTGTTATTCTCTCTTCTCATCCTGAATTGGCAACTTTTTAAATTTTATAATAGATAATAAAAATAAATACATAAACATATGATTACATAATCTGATGCATCTATGTTGAATAAATATAACACCACTATTATTTAATACACAACGATTATTTGTTGAAAGAATGATTATTTTGAGAGACCTCAGTTGTTTGGCTCAGCAGATCTATCGCTGGGGAGTGACAATTACAACGTGCAACTCTCGCTAGGAAAGTTGATGATATTAAAATATTTCCATCTACAGTTCTTTCTGAGTTAAAAGGAAATATAGTTTATAAATACATTAAAAAGAGAATTCCTTTAATCACGTATGTGTGTCTGTATGCATAAAATTGAATCACATGCACATTATTTAGAAATTGAAATCTGAAGAATGATATCTTACAGTTGTCTCTCTTAAATGGGAAAGTTAAGTATTCAAGGAAAGGAGCTAATTATCTTGTTCATTGTGCATAGAAAGCATACTCGAAGATCTTGGATTTTGGTAAGATTGCAGGCTTTCAAAATTCTGACAGGGCTGCTTCTAAATTAGTCAATGTTGATGGCTGTCTTTTTGTAGGATGACAACTGGTTGGTGTTGCTCCATTTTATTGAAAAAAGAAAAGTATCAAAAATGGCTCCACCATCTGTTGGATACGAAGCATTGTACTACGATAGTGTGTAATGAGGAAAGGCTGTTGCCGGGATATCATCTGAGACCCTTTTTAAGATACAAAATGTGCTAAATCAGGGAAAAAGGCCTACTTCTGTCAGGTTTAAGTCTTCAGAAGAGCTGTATAAGTAGGTTACAGGGAGATATTGGTCCTTTCTTGTTTGTGTACACAGCAGATTTTCCCACCTTCTCTCCTTGATTTCTTGGGGAATGTTATTTTTGAACACGAAAGGAAAAGTCTTCCTTGGAGGGCTTAATTAAATGGTTCAGTGGAGTTCACTACTTTTACTTTTCATGTGGTTTAATTCTCTAAGTGAAAGCAAAGACTCTGTAAAAGTCATTTGTTTTTGTTAATCAAAATGAATGTATAATTCTTATCAGGTGAAAGAGAAAATTGTTGCATTAAGAGCTGTGGTCTGCAGGAAAAATTCAGAAGTTTGCTGGTCAATAGTTAGAAACTGGCTCTCTTGGAGAGCAAAAAGACCTGATTTTCGATGTTTGCCATGTTCTGTTGTGAAAAATATTGCCACCATGGTAAATTTCTTTTATTTATTCATTTTACTTTAAGTTCTGGGGTACATGTGCAGCCACCATCGTAAATTTCAAGCCATCAACCTGGCGTTACACAATCTGAAGTTGGAAAGAATGGCACAAATGCACGTCCTGATGGCGCTTCCCCTTGCAAATACAAGAGATGTGAATAAAACTAGAGACGATAATATAATGTAGTAACATAATTAGGAAGTGAAGAGATCTGAACATTTATTACCTTTGCTTATATTACCATTGATTTAACTGTAAGTTGATATCATTTAATTTTTAGTAATGGCTGTATTTAGCAACTTACTCATAAAATCCTCAAAAAGTGCACAGTCAGCTCCCATGAGCCAGTGTGAGCCAGGTCTCGCTCACTGCTCGTAGATGGGTCTGTGTTAGATTTTTGGATCCAACACTCACCAGCTGCATAATCTCTCAGACATACATTCCTTGGTCCCAAAGTGAGGAAAATGAGAGTATGTACCTTAAAAGGTTGTTGGGAGGATTAACTGAGATATTGAATACAGAGTTCTTAGAGAAGTACCCAGAACCTTACTAAGTGCTCAGTAAATGTAAATTATTAGAGTTTTGGAAGTTAGGCATTCTTAGTCACAGGATGAGATAGAAGGTCCGTACAAGATACAGGTCACAAAGATCCTGCCGATAAAACAGGATGCTCTAAAGAAGCCTGACAAAACCCACCAAAACCAAGATGGCAATGAAAGTGACCTCTGGTTGTCCTCACTGCTCATTAAATGCTAATTATAATGCATTAGTATGCTAAAAGGTGGAGAGTGAGAGGAGAGTGAAGATTGAAAAACTATCAAGTATTATGCTGATTACCTGGGTAACAAAATTATCTGTATACCAAACCCCCACGACATGCAGTTTACCCATGTAACAAATCTGCACATGTACCTCTTAAACCTAAAGTAAAAGTTGGAAAGTATATTAGTCCATTGTATTGCTATAAGGAACTACCTGATACTGGATAATTAATAAAGATAAAAGGCTTAATTGGCTCATGATTCCACATGCTGCACAGGAAGCATGGCTGGGGAGGCCTCAGGAAACTTATGGTCATGGTGAAAAGTGAAGAGGAGGCAGGCACGTGTTGCATAGCTGGAGCAGGAGGAAGAGGGCTAAGGGGAAGGTGCTACACATTTTAAACAACCAGATCTCATGAGAACTCACTTATTCTCACGAGAATAGCAAGCCAGAAATCCACCCCATGATCCAATTACCTCCAACCAGGCCAGCTCCAACACTGGGTATTACAATTTGACATGAGATTTGGGCGGGGACACAAATCCAAACCATAAAGAAAAAAAAGAGAAATGTGATTCCTAGGCTTGGTAGTGGGGCCTGGTGGGAGGTGTTTGGGTCATGGGGATGGATCCCTCAAGAATGGCTTGGTGCCCTCCCATGGTAATCAGTGAGTTCTCAGTCTGTTAGTTCACATGACAGCTGGTTGTTTAAAGGAGGCTGTCACCTCCTTCTCTCCTGTGTTTCTCCCTCTCTCACCATGTGACACACCTGCTCCCCCTTCACCTTCTGCCATGATTGGAAGCTTCCTGAGGCCTCAGTGGAAACAGATGCTGGTGCCGTACCCCCTGTGCAGTTTGCAGAACCATGAGTTTATTTACTCCCCCGCCCCTCCTTCCCTCCCTCCCTCCCTCCCTCCCTCCCTCCCTCCCTCCCTCCCTCCCTTCCTTCCTTCCTTCCTTCCTTCCTTCCTTCCTTCCTTCCTTCCCTCTCTCCTCCCTCCCTTCCTTCTTTCCTTTCTTTCCCTTTTTCTCTCTTTCTCAGATGGAGTCTCACTCTGTCACCAGGCTGGAGTGCAGTGGTGCAATCTCGGCTCACTGCAGCCTCCTACTTCCTGGTTCAAGTGATTCTCCTGCCTCAGCCTCCCAAGTAGCTGGGATTACAGGCACGTGCCACCATGCCCAGCTGATTTTTGTATTTTTAGTAGAGATGGGATTTCACCATGTTGTCCAAGATGGTCTCAATCTCCTGACCTCATGAGCTGCCTGCCTCGACCTCCTAAAGTGCTGGGATTACAGGTGTGAGCCACTGACTCCAACAAACCCTCTTTCTTTAGAGATTACCCAGTCTCGGGTATTCTTATAGCAACACAAACAGACTAACAGTTGGTATTTCAAAAATATTTTCTGGCTGAGTAACCCTATGCTGTTAAACTTCTGCCAGTCAAAAGGAGCATCCCACATGTTACAGTCTGCTGTGTCCTCCCATTCTTTATGCTTAATTTTTTTCCTGCTTGCTTCTCTGAGATCTATATTTTTCAAACTGTGGATTGGCTCCATTTACTGAGTCAGGGCATTGATTTAGTAGGTCAAGACCAACATTAAGAAAAAGGGAATATACTGGAATAAAATAGAAAAAGTTAAAGGGCATCACACAAAATTAGTCTAGGTATTATTCCAAAGCTTGCATTTTATGTGCATCTGTGCATGTACTGAGCTGTGAGGTGAGATGCATCTCGTACTGTGGGCTCTAATCAAACTTAAAAATACCATTTTAAGTCATGTTCAGTGGTCACTGAATTTTTTATATAATTTAGTTCTCTCTTGAATTTTCTTCTTGTCATAGAAAAATGTCCTATATCAATTTTTATATCTATAACCATCTGATCTTTGACAAACTTGACAAAAACAAGCAATGGGGAAATCATTCCCTATTTAATAAATGGTGCTGGGAAAACTGGCCAGCTATATGCAGAAAACTGACACTGGACCCCTTTCTACACCTTATGCAAAAAATAACTCAAGATAGATTGAAGACTTAAATGTAAAACCCAAACCCATAAAAACCCTAGAAGAAAACCTAGGCAATACCATTCAGGGCATAGGCATGGGAAAGACTTCATGACTAAAACACCAAAACAACAGAGCCAAAATTGACAAAGGAGATCTAATCAAACTAAAGAGCATCTGCACAGCAAAAGAAACTGTCATGAGAGTGAACAGGGAACCTACAGAATGGGAGAAAATGTTTGCAAGCTACCCATTGGACACAAGTCTAATATCCAGAATCTATAAGGAACTTAAACAAATTTACAAGAAAAAATCAAATAACCCCATCAAAAAATGGGTGAAGGATAAGAACAGACACTTCTTAAAGGAAGACATTTATGTGACCAACAAACATATGAAACAAGACTCATCATTGCTGATCGTTAGAGAAATGCAAATCAAAACCACAGTGAGATACCATCTCACACCAGTCAGAATGGCGATCATTAAAAAGTCTGGAAACAACAGATGCTGGCGAGGCTGTGGGCAAATAGGAAGGCTTTTACACTGTTGATGGGAGTGTAAATTAGTTCAACCATCATGGAAGACACTGGGGATTCCTCAAGGATCTAGAACCAGAAATACCATTTGACACAGCAGTCCCAATACTGGGGACTCTCATTTTGTTCATTTATCTTTTTGCTCTTCATTAGGGGAGTTGCTTTTTGATCTCCAATTTATCTTGAAGATCACTAGTCTGATTGCTTATTCCATTATTCTCTCTCTATTAGCTATTTTATTTCAACAATTACATATTTTTATAAAATTAACTTTTTAAATTTTATGTAACATAACATTTATTCTTTTTGGAATACGATTCTATGAGTTTTGACAAACCCATGTAGTTGAGTAACCTTGGCTACAGTCAAAGTATGGAACATTTCATCACTCCCAAAAATTCTCTCCTGTGGCCCCTTTGTGGTGAACCTGCCCTGACCCTCATCCTCACCCACATGAACCACTAACTTCAATAAGTATATTTTAGTTTTTCAGTGGCTCCTTGGTATTTCTCATTTCCATTTTTTCTTTGCAATTTGTTCTTTATTGATCTAACTTAATTGTGTTGTCATATTCAAAACCATGTGATGTCATAGCCTCTTGAATGGTTTTCAGGGTTCTCATGCATGAATTATCTGCTTCTCCCGGGGCAGCCATGTTCTCTTCCGCTCCCTCTTCCCACCCCCTCTGCCCCCACTCTCATTTTCATCTTTGTTCTTTTCTTTCTTGCTGTTGGGTTTTCTTAAATGACTGAGTGGTCACTGGCTGTTTGTTCATTTTTAGGAGCAAAGAGGAGGCTGAATAGCACAGGTAGCCAGAATGGGTTTCCAGTGCAATGGGGAGGGCCTGAATCCTGAGCAGGTCTTGGTCATGACTGGGAATGCTGACTGTGGGTTTCTACAAGTGCTGTGTGTGGCCAGGGGTGTCAACAGACCAGCTTCTGTAAGGTGCACAGGTGGGAACAGCTAGGTGAAGGACCTCTCAAGTTCCTGGAATAAACAAAACAAACAAAAGTAAGAGGAGGTGTATTCCAGGGGTCAAGAGCTTAAGAATATTCTACCCTTGAGTAGTGTTGCTTCCCCTACCTGGTGTCTGATGTGGAGATCCACAAGTCATCTCCAGGCCTATCTTCTTTATGTCCTGCCTCAAGACAGGGTATGTCCACGCTCAGGTGAATAGTTCACTCTTTTGAGAGACAAGCTTAGGTCTGTGATTGGGGTAGACGCCTCTTCTGCTGGAGGAACGTGCTTTGCTTATATGGAGTAAAAGGAAGGTGCAAGGGACCTGCGTAGCCAGCTGATCTGAATGCACTTTTTGAATAGCCTGGGCATTGTGGCCCTAGTGGCATTTCCAGAGCCCCTATCTGTTTGATATTACTTACTGGCTGCTTTGTTTTTCTATCAATCTGCTCCTATGCGTTGACTATCAGCTAAGGTGCCTTCTTTCTTTCCTCTTTACTGTCAATGCTTTTATTCTTTATTTAAAAAAATTTTTAATTTGAGACAGAGCCTTGCTGTGTCACCCAGGCTGCAGTGCAGTGGTGCAATTATGGCTCACTGGAGGCTTGACTTCCCAGGATCAAATGATCCCACCTCAGTCTCCGAGTAGGTGGGACCACAGGTGCATACCACCATACCTGGCCAAACTGAGAATTTTTTGTAGGGAAGAGGTCTTGCTATGTTGCCCAGGCTGGTCTCTGGGCTCAAGCAAACCTGCTGTCTTGGCCTCCCAAAGTGCTGTGATTTTAGGAATGAGCCATTGAGCCTGGGCTTTTATTTATTTATTTTTCTTTTGAGACTCCAGCTGTGTCGCCCAGGCTAGAGTGCAGTGATGCAGTCTTGGCTCACTGCACCCTCTGCCTCCTGGGTTCAAATAGTTCTCCTGCCTTAGCCTCCTGAGTACCTGGAATTACAGGTGCATGCCACCACACCCAGCTGATTTTTGTATTTTTGGTAGAGATGGGATTTCACCATACTGGCCAGGCTTGTCTCGATCTCTTGATCTCAAGTGATCCACCTGTCTCGGCCTTCCAAAGTGCTGGGATTACAGGCCTGAGCCACTGTGGCCAGACCTTTTATTCTTTTAACAACTCTCCCTCTTTCTTCCTCTCTCTGTACATATGTACCTGTTATATATGTATATATGTATATTTAAAAATATTTCAGTTGGGCTTTGGGTGGGAGGTGCTTGGTTTACCATTTGAGTTAGAAGCAAATCTGTATGATTTTGAAGGTAATAAGCATATTTATTTTAAAATATGGTGCCTAGTTCAGACCTTCCACAAAATCCTTCTTTTCTTCCTATGCCGTTAACCTGTGATGGTAAAGGTTTAAAGCTGGACATCTTTCTCCTGATCCAAGGCACTGAACACAGCAGAAATATAATGACCTATTGAGTTTTAGTTTAATTACATAACCAATGACCAGAAATAAGTATATTTAAAGAGGAGCTGATATATTTTGTGGTTAGACTCTGCCTTGAAGTCCCTAGGCAGAGAATGCGATTTGCTTATTGAGTTGCTTGGAAGAGGTGAAGAGAATAGTCGGGGATACAGTAGATGACAATGTTGTACATAGTGCTTAGTTCATTTTCTTTAACACATACTGTTGCAAGATATACTAATTTTGGGGGACGGGGGTAGGGAGAAGGAGAGCATAAGAATAAATAGCTAGTGGGCTGGGCATGGTGGCTAGTGCCTGTAATCCCAACACTCTGGGAGGCTGAAGTGGGTGGATCACTTGAGGCTAGGAGTTCAAAACCAGTCTGGCCAACATGGCAAAACTCCGTCTCTACTAAAAATACAAAACTTAGCCAGACGTAGTGGCAGGTGCCTGTAATCCAGCTACTCAGGAGGCTGAGGCATGAGAATCACTTGGGCCCAGGAGGCAGAGTTTACAGCGAGTCAAGATTGCACCACTGCACTCCAGCCTTGGCAACAGAGTGAGACTCCAGTCTGGGCAACAGAGTGAGACTCCAGCCTGGGCAACAGAGTGAGACTCCAGCCTGGGCAACAGAGTGAGACTCTGTCTCAAAAATAAATAAATAAATAAATAAGAAAGAATAAATATCTAATACATGCTGGGCTTAATACCTAGGTGATGGGTTGATAGGTGCAGCAAACCACCATGGCAGATGTCTACCTGTGTGACAAATCTGCCGATCCTGCACATGTATCCTGGAACTTAAAATAAAAGTTTTAAAAAGATGCTAATTTTTGGTATGATTTTTCCTTCCCTCTGTTTATCCTGAAAAACCATATTTATATGAGTTTAATGTATAAAATTTGGAACTTAATAAATTGGAGTGCTTTAGACAGTTTCCTTCTCTCCCCCAAAATAGTCCTTTAATTCCATAGTGGAGGCCAATGGTTACATAGATGTTAGTCTGTTCAAATTGCTTTTGTAGCCAGACAAGTTAGGAAATAACTGATCTGCAAGTTGTCAAATAAGTAGAGTCTAGGGGTTGCAAGGACACTTATCCTGTGCTCCAAGATGTCTGGCAACAGGTGCCTGCATTATTGTGCTGAGAAGGTTGGATCTTTTCTGGACTCAGCTGAGAGTGGTGTGATTAGTAATGTCTGCCCTGAGCACAGGAGGCAGCACAAAAGCTAGGTGTAGACCATTATGCCAGTGGTGGTGGTGGTTCTTGTTATTTTTATTGTTAATTATTAGTTTTCCACAATTTATTTAGCTTACTTATTACTTTGGGCCATAAATGTATCTATAAGACCATAATATTTTAATGGAAAATATATAGCTGAATGTAATATGACATTTCTAGTTTTGTATAAGTCATTTTTTTTTTTTTTTGAGATAGGTTCTTTCTCTGTTGCCTAGGCTGGAGTACAGTGGTGCAATCACAGCTTACTGCAACCTCAACCTCCCAGACTCAAGCGATCCTTTCACTTTAGCATCCCTAGCAGCTGAGACTACAGGTGTGTGCCATCACACTCAGCTAATTTTTATATTTTTTTGTAGAGATGAGGTTTCACCATGTGCCCAGGTAGGTCTCAAACTCTCTGACTCAAGCAATCCACCTGCCTCGGCTTCCCAAAATGCTGGGAATACCAGCATGAGCCACTGTGCCCAGCCTGGTCTTTTCTTTTTAAAAAATATTTATTTTTTTATTTGAAGATGTAGTTTCATATAAGAGCCAAGTGAGATATTGATATTTTATCATACAATTTTCGAGAAGAGATTTCTGTTCTACATGGATGAATTTTGAGAGTGACAGAAGATTTAAGTTTTAATATTTGTGATATATTCTTATAAGTGGGAACTAAACATTTACATATTTATGTCCATCTACACATGGTCTTTTTTTAAAAATAGAATTATTTTATGGTTTTCCCCCTCTTTAGGCTTTAAATAATTATTTTTGTTCATATTGCATATTTGCTATAGGTATGATACTTCTTATTTATGATCTTTAACAAAGGAAACGAATGTGATCCTTCTTGTGCTTCTAATGTTCTGTTTTCTTATAAACTTTGTTTTGATATTTTTCAGGCTATAGTCATGTCTCAGATACTCGAGTCCCAAATCTGCATGTGTTCCTCTTGGCTATAATCAACAGTGTTGGTTGGTGTTCCTGGGCACAGATCACAGGGCTGTTCGATGTCACACATTTCCTTGTTTGTGTATTCCCATGATCAATAGCAGCAACAGCACAGGGAATAGACTCTCCTCCACCAGCTCATATTTTTCTTAAACAACATGTAGGGTTTTTGTGTGTGTGTGTGTGTGTATGTGTGTGTGTGTGTGTGTGTGTGTGTGTGTATTAATTTCTCACCTTTTACACCATAATTCAAAATCTAGGTGTCATATTCTAATAGCTGATAAGCATTTCATAGTGGGGTAGGTCAGGTTTACAGTGTAATCCTTTGATAATGCCTTCTTTTATAAATACATGAGAGAAGTTGCCATTGAGTCCTGCTGAGGAAGTAGATCAATAGGTGGCAAGTTGTTTGACCCTTCAAGCCAGAAAGAGAATTTGGTAAATGGTTAGACAGGTTATTGACTGCCCTTTAGAGAGCCAGGGGTTTGGATTCTGTAACTCCCTTCAGCTGGGGCTTGTGTATCATGTATGAGAGGCCTACATTATCATAATCCATTTTTCGCTTTTATGTTATCTATCAGGAGCTCTCATAAGTCTGCTTTCTGAAGGGTATTCCCCATGTACGTGCTTTAATTCACCGTCTTTTAAAAAAAATTACAAAATTGATGTTTTTAACCAGGGGCATTATATGTGAGTTGTTTATGGAAGCGCTGCTACAGGGAAGAAGATTAATGGGAGAATTAAGGACAAGATGATGGCTGTGGAAGGAAATTCATGAACAGACATTGCGTCAATGCCATAGGAAGATAGGCTCAAGAAGCATGTTAGACCCCAAAATCCTAGAAGAATATCAGGCTTATAATCATTATAATCATGTGTTAGGCTGATGTTGAATGGTGCTAATGGTACATTAACAAATTTTTACTTAAGTGGCTTGATTAGGTGGAAAATGCCCAGATCGACCTCAATATATAAAAAAGGTATTATCTTAAAATGTCTCTATCTATTAAATGGGGATTCTCTGGGCACTAATCCGTGGAAATACTAGAATTGTTGCACTTAGGTTACCATCTGAGACTTAAAACATTTGATAGGAGAATTTCTTCCTTTATACAGTTTTACATGCCTGAAAATACAACTCAACTGAGATTATTTTTGTAAATTATTACTAGCTTATACTATTCCCTAGGACATTTTATTCATTTGAGTTTTTCAAAAAATCTTTTTTATTCAAGGGAAGAAATGTTCAATTTTTCTTGTTCTCTCATATAATAGGCTGTTTTGCTTTTCTCAAACTAACAGACAAAATCTTTTATGTGCAATAAATGTGAGTTTTAAAGTCTTCTTGTGGGGAATAAAATGAAGACTAGTGAAGCGAATGTGTGTATACTGCGTCCTGGAAGAAGCGAGTGAAGGAGGCCCAGGGCTTGGCTTTTGGGGATTCAGGCCTTCTGCAACTTGGGCTCCCAGTTGGAAGGAAAGAAACTGGCAGAAGAAACTGCCCAGGCAGCAGAGGCATCTGCAAAAGCAAGGGCCCGACTCTGTTCTGTTCTTGCTGTGGCAGCTTGGAGCTGGCTTCAGTTCAGATTTTCTAGGCATTGGAGGAGGTCTTCCTTAAACAAATCTGTTAACATTTTTGTTTTGGGGAGAACACAGTGCCACACAGATGTAAATTCACCAGTTCATATTTCTGCCTGAAGCTGCTCCATCTCCCTGCTCCCCTGGGCCTCCCATCCTGGCAGGAGTAGGCATGGTTTTGGTCCATCCCATCTTCATCGCTGTGCCTGGTTTCTGTCCTGTGGTTCTCAGGCTGTGTTTGTTCCTGTTGTTCCCTCTGCCAGTGGAAACCACTTTGTATTGAGCGTGGGGCTCTCTGGACCTCTGCAGCTCTGGGCTTTCTCTTCCCGGGGTAGTTGTGATGTCAGCAGCATTCTCATTGTGAACAGGCCCCCGTAGCGTTTATCATCATCTTCTTTCTCTCTTTCTCTCCTCCTGTCTCTCTGCCTCCACCCTAGCAACATGCTGTTTCCTTTTCTCACTTGATCTGGGCTTAAATGCAGACATCCTCAGTGAAGTTAACTCATATGGGACAGACGTCCATGAATAGAGCCAGTGTCACAACAGAGAGAATCTTTCTTTCTACTGCTCTGTTCTCATTCCATATGGCGCATGTAGGCATCATGCTTTTTCCTCCAAGTGGGTGCTACTGGAGACAGGGTGATGGTCGTCAGTGCACACCGGTGTGTCCTCATGGTAATTTGTAGCCAGGCCTCCTCTGACCTTTCAGATGCCATTTTTGATTGGTGAATGCCATGATGTACTGGTGTTAAGTGGTTTGAATACCATCCCTGCATGGAGACATGACTCATATCATTGCCACAAATCTCATATTTCACATATTGGATATCTTTACTCAGTTCATATTTCCTTGCATCACCCAGCAATAGTAGGGAGATGGTGTTGAAATTTCTCATTATGTTGGTGGAATGCCAATTTTCCCGTCTTATCAATTTTGTATGCTCTCCATGAATTTATATGTATACATACATATTTAAAATATTTTTGAGGCTAATATTAGGTATATTTACACTTAGAATAATACTTTTTTGGTGAATTGAACCATTGAATGTTAAACACTATGTAGTGTCTCTATTCCTAACACTTTTATTTTATTTAAAAAATTTAAAAAATTTTTTTGAACTTTAAAGACCAGATTTATTTGGAGAAAACAAACAAACAAACAAAAACCCCAGAACCCAAAGAATGGGATTTTACATCTCAAGATATCTCCCAGGTAATAACTCTACAGATTACAAATCATATTCATAGAGGATATTTTTGTGACATTTTACATTCATTCAGGAGTGGGACATTAATCAATCCCTGTTTCTGTTTTAACAGGGGGCAAGGTAGGGGAGAAGGAAAAACAGTTTTGGATACAACTATTTGTAAGGAGAGTAGACAGGAAGAGGGCAAACCCTAGCTTTTCATTGTCTACAATCAATGGTTTTTTTTAAAGATTTTTTTTTTCAATTTTCAGTATCACTTTAAAACCTCACTTCTTAGCTACTAGCCAATCCACACCAATTATTTAAATTCACTTGGTACACAACTTTGTCCATTGGATAAATGATATTTATTATGTCCATGCTGCAGCACGCATAAGCCAACACCCCTACATGGCTGAACAGGACCTAATCTAGGAACGATGGGAGAAGGGCTTGCAAACCAAGATCAGGGTGACATTTCTCTGCTAATACTGTCTAGCAAGCTGATCCCTAGAAAGATGTACCTTAAAGGAGGCAAGTTTAGCTATTGTGTTGTGAGAGAAACCAGGACTTGTTAAATAGTTCTCTCCATTACCATTTATTCTCTCAAGGAAATCTTAAAAAAAAAAAAAAGAAAGAAAAAGGAAAAACAACACATTGGTCTGGCCACCTCATAAATCCAACAAGCATTGGTGTGGCATTTCAGTGGAGAAGGAAACTTGGGGGGAAAAACTCATCAAGGTTGTAAAAAAAAAGGCTCCCAATTTAACTGTCCCTGTCCCCATTTTCCACTTTTATTCACCACCCAAGACCATCCATTATTTTAGAGCACTCTGATCTGTAAAAGGGGTCAAAGCATCAGGGGCAGGCAAGGAGTGAGAACCAAAAGGCATCAAGAAACCAATTTGCTTGAGAAAAGCCGCAATTCTTCCTTACACAGTTCTCCATGGCTGAGAGAGAAAATGCCCAAGAGATCATCTATGTAACTTAGAGACTGTTTTTTGGGAGGTTAAGAGTAGCATGAAGAACTTAAGATGACAAGAGTTTAAATTTTTAAAGTTTCAAGGTTTCAACAGAATGTGGATATATTAGAACTTTAAAAAAGGACGGTGTTTAGAAAGGGTAAAACCAGGACACGCCAAACACTGGGAATTACCACGACTCCCAAGTGCTCCAGAAAATAACCATTCATTTGTTTGCTGGAGGTCACACAATATTCCCCTATTACCTGGTGCAAAATGATTTATCACCTCCCAAAAGCTTCTTTTCAAATCATTTGTTTTGGTAGAATACAGTCCTATTCTTTATGGTCTATAGACTCACCCATAACTACCACCCTGGAGGGTGAAAAAAATGAAGGACTTCCCCCTAGGCTGGCCCCCAAAACTCAGAATTAAATAGGAGGAGGAGCTGGCAGCCTCCTGGAGACTAAAACAACTTGAAGCTAAATCTACCTTTCCAAGAGTGGAAAATTTATTCAGATAATGTTTGAGAATTTATATATGCCACAATAAAATAAAAATTAAAAGGTAGAAATCTCACCCATTTCCTTATACATTCCTCCCCTACTGCCCAACCAGGTTCCAGACGTTATATCACTGTCATTACCATTTTTGCTAAATGAAGGCCCCTAGGCACTAATCACACTGGCAACTGCATGGTGACACAACACACCACAGCTTTTCCAGTAAAAAGCCATAGTCTCTTTCTCTGTGGTGATATTGGCAATTCTCCAGTTATGTCAATACTTTAAAGGCTGCAGTAGCATGCAAGAGAATTTCATTTTTTCTTTTTTAAAGGTAAGAAAGGTCTTCAGGAGATGGTGAATTTTATTTTATCTTGTCTGGATAGAGGCTTGATTTGCTCTCGAATGTTCCAGGATGGAGAAACTAGGGAGAAAACACTGGATATTGAGGTCTATTCTGTGTAATCTTCTCCCTCGTTTTAATCTTCACCATCAAAGGAGAAAGCAGCATACTTGCTTGCAGAACTGAACTTAGAAGACGGATTTTCCTCAGGTTTCTTTGGCTCAGGTGTAGACCTGGAGTTTTGATTCTTTTTGCCACCTTTCCTATCTGACTCCTTTCAGTGGTCTCTTGGACCACCGCTAGAATTCCCAATTTGACCTTTTGGGACATTCATCCCATCTACCTTATTTTCATCTTTCCTTGCTGCTTCTTCCTCAGATAGTTGAGCTGGAGCTACCTTTTCCCCACCACTTGTAACTTGTAGGGGATTGCTGCTGTGTGTCTGACCTCTGATATGGAGCAGGAGGGTGAGAACTTCGCTTCAGCCAAGCATTTTCCTTTGGTGGAGGGGCTGCCATCACTTTTAGGGACTGATCAGTTTTGGGAGGTTTAGAAATTGGCGAGTGACAATCTTCCTCCTTATTCACTGTTTCATTTTCTAGAGACTTCTCACTCTCTCTCCTTCGTGCATCCTGGTCTGACTTCTGCCGGATGTGGCGGAGGCACCAGTCTGCGACAACTCACTTCCTGTCCTCGACCCTTCCGGTTCCTGAGTTTCTTCACTTCACCAGCTCGGGTGTCTCTCCTGAGGCCGTCGTTCTAGTTTTGGCTCATCCGGCTGACGCTGCAGCTTCTCGTTTTCCTTCTGTAGCGTTCTTCTACTTCTCTTTCTCTAGCAGCTGTGTCAACGGGCTTTGTTCCTCCAAAGATAGAAGCAGCTCGACTGGACTGGGAGGTACCAGCAGAGGAATCATCTTCCTTAGGAGTACTCCCAGGCTTCAGATTCAGTTTGGGTCTTTGCGTGTGTGTGTGTGTGTGTGTGTGTGTGTGTGTGTGTGTGTGTGTGTTGTGGGGGGGCGACCTCTATCATCACACCTATGATCATCCCGAGAGTAATCATCTCTGGAGCTCCACGACTGGTCATCCCGTATGGGTCTTCCTAACAGTCCCTGCCTCCCTTACAGTCATCGTCCTGGTGATACCCACTGCCAGATGCTCTTCTGCCACCCATCTATCTGGGAATCATGGCCTCTAGCATCGTCTCTGCTGCCTGGGTCGTCATAGCGATCCCGGCTGCCATATTGATCCATATCCCTGAGTGGCCAGGGCCATCCTGATACCCATTCCGACACCCATCACAATACCTGTCTGAATCATAATATCTCGATACTTGTCTCCAAAGTTACCATCACCTCGTCTAGGCAGGTAGTCATCAAAGCTGTCTGTGGCAGGATGAGCTCTCTCCAGTCTGTATCTGTTTTGTCAGAATCCCGGCTTCTATCATGGCCGAAAGAACGATCGACCCCGCCTTTATTCTGTGCTTTATCAGCCATGTCCACTGGAATTCTCTGGTTGCCTAGAGACTCTCCACTGAGACTCCGGGCACTGAACACGGAATCCAAGTTCTCAAATTCAGCATAACCAAAACCTTTCAATCTCTCTGGATTGCTGGGTTCACGTGGTAAACACACTGCACTGATATTTAATCCTCTAAAGAATTCCTTAATTGACTCTTCTGTCACATCATAGGTTAGATTCCCCAAAAAAGCAGTGTCAGGCGGGGATTTGGGAAGACGGCTCCGGTTGATACTCAATTCCCGGGCAGCGGGTGGAGCAGTGGGAAGGACGGAGTGGTCAGTTAATTGGAGGCGCCCTATACACATCGTCAGCAATACTGTGCCAAGTTGTTGAAGCATCTCCTTCCAGGTCATCTGTTTCTTCAGCCCAGCTGACTGGTTTGGAAACATAGGTGCTTCCTCCACCGGTCCCCACATCCTCAGCTAGAAAGTCTGTTAGGGAGATAGTCTTCCCCTTTTTGTTCTTCTTTTTTGTTGAGGCTGCCTTGCTGGGAGAGGGAAAGCAACAATTTTATTTTAAAAAAGATTTTGTCTCATATTAGTATAGTTATTTTATAGTGGAATTTAAAAGTATGACAGTATCAATCTTTTAGCTGGCAAGTATTGTTCATTTACATATTTATGATTACTAAATTGTTTCTCCTAACTGTTAAATTTCTATTTGTCCCGTTTATTCTATTCTTTTTCTCTCTGTCTTCATTCTTCTTCTTTTTAAAATATGTTGAGTTAGATTGTTGGTTCTCTAAAAAATTAGATATTTTCCCTTTTGTAGGATTTGAATTTGTGTAATCTTATTTCCATTCTTTGTGGTTATACCTAAAATGTTATTGCATGTGTTTAAACAAAGTCTAAAAATCAGTAATATTCTAGCCTTTCTCATGAAGAATAGAAAGATCTTAGAATACTTTAATTCTCATATACCCTCTCAACTTGTTGTCCAGTATTTTAGCTTTGCCTTAAAAAAAATCCTGTGTGGTAGGCATTGTTATTATTCTACACAATGTGTGTGTGCACCTGTGCACACCTGTATGCACATTTACATTTTATTTGCTTGCCTCCCTCGTTTTTTGCATTTTAGCTTTTCCTTCTGGAATTATTTTCTTTCTTCCTGACATTGTATCCTTTATAATAAGTAGCTTCATAGAAGACCTGATGGTCTTAATCTCTCTGAGTCTGTTTATTTTTAAATTTTTATTTATTTATTTTTTTGAGATGGAGTCTTGCTTTGTTGCCCAGGCTGGAGTGCAGTGGTGTGATCTAGGCTCACTGCAACCCCTGCCTCCCGGGTTCAAGCGATTCTCCTGTCTCAGCCTCCCAAGTAGCTGGGATTACAGCTACCATGCCCGGCTAATTTTTGTATTTTTGTTAGAGGCAGGGTTTCACCTTGTTGGTCAGGGTGGCCTCGAACTCCTGACCTAGGTGATGTCATCTACCTGCCTCGGCCTCCCAGAGTGCTGGGATTACAGGCATGAACCACTGTCCTGGCCTATTTCTCATTCTTTGAAGATAATTTTGAACAACATAAAACAACCAAAAATGGAGTGGTTCAGACTTGGGAGGAATAATTAAAATTAAATTTAAACCTTCCATCATCTTCTTACATCCCTAACAGTTAGTTATGGTCTTGCTCCTTGGGCAAAATGACTTCCTTGGTTAAAATCAGAATGTGAAGGATGGTCCCAAGCAAAGGCATTGGTCTCTCTCCTAACTCAGAGAGGAGGAGCTAAAAGCCAGTTTCATAATAATGAGGTCAGAACTTTTGCTTTTTAAATGTCATAAAAGATATGGCCAGGCATGGTGGCTCATGCCTACAATCCTAGCACTTTAGAAGGCTGAAGTGGGTGGATTGCTTGAGCCCAGGAGTTTGAGACCAGCCTGGGCAACATGGTGCAACCCCATCTCTACAAAAAATACAAAAATTAGCTGGGCATGGTGGCAGTTCCCTCTAGTTCCAGCTACTCAGGAGGCTGAGGTGGGAGGATCCCCTGAACCTAGGAGATCAAGGCTGCAGTGACTGTGATCCTGCCACTATACTTCAGCCCGGGTGATGGAGCAAGACTCTATCTCAAAAAAAATTTTTCTTTTTTTTTTTTTAAATAAAGTTGGCTGGGTGTGGTTTCTCACGCCAGTAATCACAGCACTTTGGGAGGCTGAGGTGGGTGTATCATGAGGTCAGGAGTTTGAAACCAGCCATAGCCAATATGGTGAAACCTGTCTCTACTAAAAAATAGAAAAATTAGCCAGGTGTGATGTCCTGCACCTGTAGTCCCAGCTACTTGGGAGGCGGAGGCAGGAGAATTGCTTAAACCCGGGAAGTAGAGATTGCAGTGAGCTGCGATAGTGCCACTGCACTCCAGCCTGGGTGACAGAGAAAGACTCCCTTTCAAAAAAAAAGTTTTATTTTTAAAAAAAATAGATATTATGTTAAAAACATTAGTATATGTCTTCCTTCATGAATGAAAGCCTGTTATACACAAATGGGCCTGTGCTGGGGGTCCGCAAGACCATCCTGAGGTTTGGCGATTCTCTGGGAGGTTTCACACGGCTCAGGATATAGCCCTGCTTATTCATGTGGCCATGATTTGTTACAGTGAAAAGATACAGAGCAAAATCAGCAAAGGTAAAGTGCATGGGAGCAGGTCTGGAGAAAATGAGACGCTTGTCCCAGCAGAGCCACACAGGATGCGCTAAACTCCGCCAGCAATGAATCGTGACAACCTGTGTCAAACATTGCCAACCAGTGAAGCTCCTCAGAGACTTAGTGCTCAGGGTTTCTACTTGGGGGGTGGTGGTGAAGAGGGGGAGTGGGTGATCACCAAATTCCAGATACCCATAGAGAAAGCAGGTGTTTAGCTCTTTGTACAAACAGCTTCAGCACAGTACAGTGGACCACTCTTCATGGTTAAAGATGGTAGAAAAACTGTCCCCAAATTCAAGTTCCCAGACACCAGAGAAGGGCCATCCTTGTAAGCAGGACTTTCAAATGCTAGCAGGCAGGCCCACCATGTTAACCCATTTTCATACAGAGCTTATAAGGAAATCATCATAGAATAACAAATTCTTTTGACACCTGAATTCTGCTCTCAGATCCTGTAGTTTGAGTCTAACTGTGATAGTGGTCAGGCAAATGGAAAGCCAGAGAGGGTGGACTTAAGAGATCAGGAGGGAGAAGATGGAGATGGAGATGGATATAATTGACTTAGAATATGGCAGAAGATTAAGGGGCCATGGTGGCTGTTTGACTTCACCAGGAGATAGGAATGAAAACAAAATTTAGAGATTTTTTAGAGCTAGAAGTCTTAACATTAGTGGTTGGGTATGTTAGAGATTTATATCTATTAGACAAGGTTTCTTAACCTCAGCACTGTTGATGTTTTGCACAGGGTAAGTCTGTCGGGGAGAGGGCTGTACAGTGTAGCATAGGATAGCCGGATTCCTGGCCTCTGCCCACAAGATGTCAGTAGTATTTCCCCCTCCCTGCTCACCCTTGAATGTGACAACCAGAAATGTCTCCAGACGTTGCCTATTGCCAAATGTCCTCTGAGGACAGTATAAGAACATGGGATTTACAGTAAATAAATCCATGACGATCTTAGCTTTGTATGTCTGAGTTCACTAATATCTCACCTTTACAGTAGTTTTCCATTTGTAAAACTTTTTCATGTAATTCCAGCAGCAACTTCAGGAGAGAACAAGGAATATTTTATTCCCACTATATAGATGAAGGCCTTGAGACACAGAGGTTAAATTACTTTGCAGAGGAGTAGAGAGAAAGTGGTAGCAGTTAGTAGCAGTAGTACTAATAGTAATAGTTATAATAATATTATAATTAGTGGTAGACATTTTCTTGAGTGCCTACTATAAGCCAGAAATGGTTTCAAATGACATACCTGTGTGAATTGCAACAAGCCTGAATTGTGGTGGTGTTATGTTCATTTTATAGATGCAAAAGTTGAGGCCAGAGAGATTAAGAAACCTAACTCAAAGGCACACAGCTGGAAGGTAGACTAGCCAAGTACAAACCTAGGCACTTTGACTCCTGTGCTCCCATAAGCAGCAGATTCTGGATACAAAGTGAGTGTTTCTGAGTTCTCACTCTCCCCAGTCATGTTCTTTCTCATTCCTTTCTCCATGGAGGTTGCCATTTGCTTATGTCGCTGCCTGCATTTTGATGAGCTCTGGTTTAGTGATTTGCATATTACTTTTTCTATATTTTTAACAACTGAATCTTACAGAGATAAAAAATTTGAAGTCATCTTTCTGTGACCTAAGTTTGCTATTTCAGATGCAGTCTTCTATTATTGTCTTGATTCCCTCTCTCTTTATTTTTAATATAGCATTTTATGGAAATCTGGATTTGTTGCAACTGTCAGCTTAGTCTTGATACACACACTTCATCCAATTCTTGCATAGCTCATCTAAGAGACTTCTGTTTATGATGCTAAACATTTCAGCATATTCCCCAGATCTCTCAACCAGCTCTGGATGCGTTACATGTCATATTTCCACAAGTATGTTTTGTTTTCCAGGGAACTTATGAATACGTCAATTCATCCATTCCTTTTTTTTTTTTAAACTTGTTTCCTGAGTCTCTTTGAACATCCATTTCTCATGCCCTCTGTCTTCTTCCAACATTCTTACTGTTAATATGGAGGAAGAAAAACGTGTTATTCTTCCTCTAGGGCTGGTGAAGAAATCTTCTGTTTTCCTTAAGATTTCTATTCAAGACAATCTTTTAGGAAGGTCTTTCAGAACCTTTTAAATGACGTACTTGGAAAGGACCTTAGAACTAATTGTAAGGTGCCACCGATTCATGTTAGATGCTTGGCTTCTCTGTTCTGTAATGACACACGGGACCACTGGCCCCTCAGTTTATTTCTGTATCTGGTTTTCTTTTCTTTTTTTTTTAATTTTTTATGTATCTGGTTTTCTTTTTCTTTTTTGCTGGAGAGGTGGAATGGTATGTGAGTGGGAGTTGAGGTTATGACTTCAAGAGCAGACTGTTGTTGGATTAGATTAGATGAACATTAATACATGGACATGATGCTGAGAAATCCCAAGTTTGATGAGATTTTCAGGTGTGTTGTTTGAAATTAATTAGGTCCTTGCATATATTATAATTATGATTTTCAGCATAAGGCAGTATGAGTTGCTATCTCTGTAATTACACTTACTTCTTATGAGTCTTATGGCCTCAACTCATGAAGCCATCCCACTCTTTCTCAATAGTTCAGCATGCTGCTTTTCTTGAAGGTCTTATTTTCTTGAATTTTGCTAGCTCTGAATATGATGTGAATCCCCCAGTCCTCAGGTTGTAATTCATTTTAGTGTTCATAATCCCTGGTAGTTTCAGGCATAAATTCCTTCTTTCCCTCAGCATTTATTATTTTGGTTACTAATACTAAATTGAACTTTTTCTCACCTACATCAAAAGT